CCAATCCTCGCTATAGTTAGCTCACCGGATAACTTCACTTGTCATTTGGAAAAAAATAAAAGGCGCTGGACGAGAGGGGAGAGGTGGGTTGGAAAGGTATAAGAGTGGTCTAGGTGCACGGAACGGAAGGAAAGGGAACGAAAGAGGGCACGAGGATTTTTTTGCCGTCTCGAAGTCCATTGCTCGCGTCGGGCCCCGCGTCAATTTGTCGAAATTCGTTCCGATTCGTTTTATGTCTGCCACGCCGCGAGACCGCGACCCGCTACCATACGTACACAATGCCTCTGAAATGCCTCTGACCACGGTGCTACCACGTATATATCCACCGTGAGCCGTTTCGTCGGGGCCGAATTCGTCTCGAGACCTCCCGAGGACGCGTTAAAATTCGTTCATCTCTGTTTCGATGGTAAGAAAAGGGTAAAGGAAGAAAGGTCGGTTTCTCTCGTCGTTTCGTTCCCTTCTCTTCCTTTCTTTTTCTATCCTCTCTCCTCCCCCCCTCTCTGTTTCTCTCTGTCTCTCTTTCTCTGCCGTATCCGCGCACCACCGAGAAATTGTTCGTTTCCCGCTGAGAATTGTTCGACGATTAGACCGGGGTAATTGAGCGATTAAGGTTGATGCAAGTTGTCAGGGTTTTCGGATGAAATGCGGGCTGGCGTCGAGAAGTTCCTGGCCGTTGGAATCGGACTGGTCTCACTTTTAAAGGATATCGAACAGCGGGGCAACGCTCTAGTATGGAAAGTAATAAACTGGACTGCGTAACGTTTATGCAAATTCGCGTTTTTACGAACGTAACTTAAGAAATTCGCTTTTTTTCCTTTTTCTTTTCCTTTTTTTTTTTCTTTTTCTCTCTTTCTTTACATATCGAATATACGGATATACACTACAGGCCATTTAATAGTTACAACCGACATTTTATTTTGAATATTTATATACGCGTATTTTTTTCGCATTTACGTGTATTCCTTTACATTTTTTTGCCGCTTCTTATGGATACATAAATTATAATAGCGTAATAATAGCACTTAGTATTTTCTAGATCATTAACTTTTTAGTATTGAGATCGTTAAACACGCATCTTGCCGATTTCAGATCGTTGGAATCGATATAAATACGAGCGAGAGTATAAAATGTTAAAGACAAATGTAAATTTCGTACGAGCGTAATAATAATTAATAAAAGCGTCGTTAATCGTATTATTGGGGAGATGTTACGTGGAGAATATTCGCTCGGGAGAAATAAATCGTCTCGAAACGATCCGTCAAAAATTATTTCCCGTTGAAAAAGTTGAAGGAAAGTATATAAGGAAAAGTATATATGCGGTAAAAATTTGTAATTTATCGCATGTAAATCTAAAAAGAGAAAAAGAAAAAGATACAATACATAATTAAACAATTAAGCGGAGGAAAACGGAAGAGGTAATTAAAATTAATTATTACGATCATCAATAACGCTGATATAAATCCTATTATTTGCAAAAAAAAAAAGAACACGATATACCTTTATTTCCTTTTCCTTCCTGTTCCAGATTCATTACACCGTACATATATTCGCAACAATTAATAAACCCTCATTATACGAAACTCTTGCAATCAAGAATGCGCGCTGTAGATCATTTTAAATTGTCACGCGCGTATTTTTTTTCTTCGAGGTGTATTACGCACCTTTAAATCACGAGCCACGGTGCTGCTCCCCACCGGTTGCAACGTACGGTTGCACCAGCATCGGCTAATCTTATCTTATCCGGTGATCCTCCTAATGCCGCGCTGTGTAACTGTGCACGCCGCGCCAAGAACAAGCTCGGAAGAACAAACGTGAAAAATATTCTTTCCGCCCTCGTGGCTGGAATTTCCAACTTGGAGACAAGAAGTACGTTTAACGTAAGATCGATTATTTACAACCTGTCGATACGCGAAGTGCGGTACAATCGACCGCGAAAGTCCTCGTTATCTCGCAAACAAGATTCACTTAACCTAAAAAAAAAAAATCCTGATTCCTATTGTACGTATAAAAAAGTGCCTCGAAATTCTGTCTCTTTTTTCTTATATAATTTCTAGTTATCGTATCGTACGTTAGAATATTTCTTACGATAATGAAGCATGGCAAAACTCGAGATTTTTCTAATTTGAAAATTTCTCTTCTACGTCGTGCGTTAATCGTATATCGATTAATGCTTGATTTCTAGCGCGTATTTTATTTAATAAAAATTACTTCGTTATCCTTTACGCGTCGCGATGTTTCGCATAAAATGGGATTATGATGGGATTTTTAATAACGTAACCCGTTGTAATTAAGCTCGTGTAAAGTATGCGAATACTTTTGTGACCGACTGTAGATAATTAACGCGCGAAATAGAAATCGTTGCGGACGATTTTTATGGTATCGAAGTCGGTCGAGCACACCTTGCTTAATTGACGCGTTCTACGCTTTTTACATGTTTTTCTCTCACCGCGGGCTATACACGAGACCGACATACGTTTTCTCGCGGACCAATTACTCAATTAGAAAAGTGTCGTTGAGAAAAATATATATATATATATATTTATATATTTATATATGTATATGTGTGTATGTATATGAAAAACGATACGATGAATCGGCCAACAAGGCAACGTGTAAACTTATCGAACAACATTTGCAAGAACGCGAAGCGATCGAGTGCCGTCGGATCGAGAAAGGGTTCACTTTGCGAGTTGAACATCAGTCGTGAACGATTTTTGATAGAAACTCGTCGATGTTCGATTTATTTTAATCGGTGGATGTAAAGAATATTTTTTTTTTTTTTTTCTAATTTTGTTTATCATTTACTTTGATTTGTATTCAAATATAAAAGAAGATGGATTTGGTATTATCGTGATTGATATTTTTTTACTTTAACGTCAAGTGAGTCATACATTTAAACAGAAAAATATCAAAAATATTATATTTATATTGTTGTATACTTGTATCGTGGAATAGAAATTTTAATGTATTTTTCTATTGCTTATATATATTGTTACATTACATTTATATTTTTTAATTGTTCCATTAATTTGTTGGCCTCGTTAATATATAAAAAATGTAAGACGAATGTTTCGAATTACGTTAATCACGTTAAAATTTATTATGCAAAATATATTGCGAGTATAATTAAATTGATCGAAAGGAAAGAAAGAAAAATAGTAATTAAAAGGAAAGAGAAATACTATTTCCGATAATCCCTATTATTTTATTTTATCGTGAAAATGGCACGTAATTGCACGTAATATCCCAATGTCGAACACGATTTTTATTCAACCTCGCTTTCACCGTTTCGTTGTTGTTTTCACGGCTTTCTTATCTGCATCCGTTGTCTTTTGCTCGCGTTTTAATCGACGATATCGTTTACCGATGCAAGGATAAATATATCGAGGGTCGTGTATACATCTTCAGCCTTGCGTCGTCCTCTCTTCTTTCCACCGGAAGAAAATTTAAGATTCAGAGAAAGAGAGAGAGAGAGAGAGAAAGAAAAAGATAAAATCGTTGAATAAATCGTTCGAAATATGAAACGGGCTTGTTGACTAGTCACTGAATTAATTAATATCTCGAATTGGAAATACATTCGTCTCGAGTGAGATACCGTTGAGACGGTGGTTTGAGGCTGACTTTTATCTCATATTGACTTTCTCCTTGTTACAGACACCCCCTGTTCCCGCTTCTCGCGCTGATCTTCGAGAAGTGCGAGTTGGCGACGTGTACGCCGCGCGAACCTGGCGTAGCGGGTGGTGACGTGTGCTCGTCAGAAAGCTTCAACGAGGACATCGCTGTCTTCTCCAAACAGGTAAGCGTGTCTATTCCATGCTTTATACGATAAATTAATATTCTATTCGATAATACGTTCGACGTTTAATAAATTAAAGCTGGCAAAACTGGTGTTAATTTGTCACTGAATTTAGGATTTTAAGAGATTTTTTTTTTTTTTT